ATGTAGATTAAAAACAGAATAAGAAGACTTTTCATATTCTGTTTCAAAAAAGGAATAAGCCGGTAGACACAGATTTTAACAAAGTTATTATTACTTGTTCTTTGTTTAATTGATATGTTAGATATGAAATAATAAGATAGACATACATTTAATCAATATTAAACTCGTGTTAAATTTAGTAATTCAAAATAAAATATTTATTTATTTTAGTTATCTGAAATAAATCTAAATGCTAAATTAATTTTACCACCATGTCCAATAAGTCAACAAGAATCAAAGCAGGATTAATATCAAACATAACAGCAAAACTTGCTGCAAATCTTTATATTGATGAAATAACAACAAGTGGTGAAGATTAGGCTGTTGATGACGAACAAATTGAAGATGATCTTCATAGAGAAAATCTTAATAATAATGAAGATGAAGGTTGGGGTGATACTGAAATTGAATTACCACCTGATCTTGTATGTTTTTTATCCAAATATATAAATTAATGGTTTATTTAATAAATAGTTTTAAACTTTTATTTTAATTATTAAGTCGTGATGCACGTTCACCGAAATTATTTTATCCAGCAGTTGGATTTAAATCAGAAAAATAGTTGGACGTTGTCAAATCGCTTATCGTTTAACAAAAAATGGAAAGTTTCAAGATCAACGATGAATTGAAATATGTAAAGAAAATATTGTTGATTTACAAATGTCAATGGCAAAAGAAGATTTAGCAAAAGATAATGAAAAACGTTCATGTGAATTAACTGCTGATTTTACTCATTTACAATTACAAGCAATACATAAAATCATGACATTAAAATTTGCACTTAATGAAGCATTGTGAATTAATATCTCAGGTCTACTAGTAAAGAAATCTTTATAAAAACATAGCTATCTTTAATGCACTCAAAGATATGTCATATCTGTTGATCGAAGTTGTTCATGTTGTTTTGATTTATTTGAAACAATTGAGTTTATTCTTTGTTAAATGAAACATAATTTTCGTTCAATTACTTTAGAATACGGACAAAAAAACAAATAAAAACTTTATTATTATTTTGTTTAGACACGGAAAGTATTAAGTGTACGTGAAAAGAATCCAGTTGATGAACATCCATTAAATTATGATGAATATAATTCATTTAATATTTGTGCAGCATCCTATGTACTACATTTATCGGTAAGAAATTTAAAGATGAAACTGAATTTAATTTAAAGTAATCTTTAATTCGTGTTTAGTGAAAATTCATTATCTGGTACAGCCCATTTACCGAATTTTATAGGACAATTATGTCGTGTTACAAAAGCAACTGAAATTGGAAAAGAATCTATTGGTCTTAGGATTTCCATGAGACAATTTTGTTAGAATAAGGAAAAAAAGAACTGTTTGTTTAATTCGATTTCATTATTATTAACTTTTAATGCATATATTTATCATTTTGAAAAAGTAACTTATCATTAGAACGTTTTTCTTTTATTTCACGATAAAGAAATCCTTTTCTAAAACGAAAATTTAAAATCAATACATTTGTTTGAAATAAGTTTACTTTAGTAGACATTGAAATTCTATGATAATATACAAGAATAAATAATCTCGATTTATAAAAAGACATTAATGTAACTGGATACTTTATAATTGTTTAAGAAATTTTATCGACATGATTTCATTTGATATTCGACCTTTGCAATATCTCGATTGACTCACTCAAGTGGTAACCTGCTTGCATCTATTCAATATTCATACCGACCGTCTTTTCTTGATCACGTTTAACTATATAATGAAGTCATTAATAAGACAAAGAGATAATTAAATGTCTAAAGCACTACTTTTCGTTTATAGATTTCTTCACATTTAAATAAAAATAAAAATAAAAATGAACAATGAGAAATAACTTTTCATTCTAAAAACTAAAAATGGAAGATAATGATGATTTTCTATTCAATGGTTTATTTTCCCCAATTGAAAAAATCTTCGTTGATTTCGATTGACTTTTCTCCAGTTTTGCAACTACAGAGTTTCAAAGTAACAACAACATAAAAACCTATTCTAAAAACGAATTTTCTTAAATTAATATCGTTTGTAGATAATCATCATGGTGTTGAAAATCTTGACTCTACTATAGAAAACATGATCTTAATGAAGCATTCCCAAGAGCTTTTATAATAACAACAATGAAACGAGAAACAACATAATCTGAAAGATGTGTTATTGAAAAACAAAATCAATAATCATTAAATCAAAATGAAAATAACAAAACTGAAACAATAAGTAAAATATGTGGAGACAAACATCATACAATAGTAAAAACAAGATGGTAAAATAATTCGAGAATTTTGTTGAAATGATCTACTAAAAATAAATGAAAGAATATTATTTGAGTTTGTTTTTTTTTTATTTTGAAAAAAAACATGTAGTTGTCTCGCTGTTTTTTACTTAATATATTTTATCTTTTCTGCTTCGTCAAAACTAAATCTCTTTTCCGATTGAAAATAATCTTGTCGACAATACCATCATTTTCCTCAACAACGACAGAAAAAAAAGAGAAAAAAGGTGTCAATTCAGGTCGGATGAACATCCGACAGCTTCTAAACAACTAGACAAAACCTTTTTTCTCTAATCTTCATTTACAACTAACTCACAAATTAGAATATCAATTTAATCTTGTTATTGATTTTTTAGAAAAAATTCTACAAATATTTCAATATCAATCTTCACCATAAAGTAAATTATTTAGATACGTTGAATAATATATTAGTATCATTCGTGAAGAAAGGAACTTTTCTTTTTGTTAAATAGCATATAAACGAATGCGAAGAAAGTATTGTGAAAATTAAGAAAGTTATTGTTCTCCTTTTCTTCTGACCTAAAGCCACACCCACGCCCTAGAAATTCTTCGCTTCGCATCGCAGTGGCGATTACGTTTTTGGATACGAATATTATCCATGATTTTATAAGTCTGATTATGAGAGTGATAGATTTCATCAGCACAGACACTAAACATTTACTTGTCAGTCGGTTATCTAAGTCATGGCATGATAGGAAATTTGCAATTTTTGAGAAACAAGACAATTGAAAATAAGATACATGAAAAGCAGTCGTATATATTGTTTATTTCTAGAAATAAAAGTCTCTGTGGTAACTAGTCTGAGGAAAAACATTGTTCTTTTATATCTCACAGTCATAATAGTGATAGACTTTGAACAACAGTTCTGATCAGTCTAATTCGATAGCGATATGGCAGCAGGCTATACGCTGAAAAGAGATGTAAAAATTTCGATGCTTGAAACAGGCTTCAAAATGGACAACTTTTTCATGGTATAGATTGCCCGATCTGATAAAAATTTCGTTGACAAAGATTTCTTCCTTATGTCGGCGCCAGAATTAAAGAGGGGTTGGTGTAAATTGAATAACTCAACAACGGCAAGAGCTACCGACCTGCGGTTTTCACCAATCGAAAGAGGAGGAGGGGGGACGTCTTTTTCTCTCATAATGTATAAGACGAAATCCTTTTAAAACTAAGCATATTCGAAAAACCTGTAAAAGAACCCATGAAAATGACCTGCCAGTTGGAAGAAATTTTGATTTTGACCTTTGATTTAGATAGAGGGACTTCAGATCTATAGTTCAAGACACAATGTACTTCCTTACTTTTTCTTACATTTCCATCGAAATCTCAAGCTACTAGGATAAAAAGTGGGAAAACTGAGAAAAAAATCAGCAAAATTCCCGGTTATTTGCGCATGTAAGTGCATGAGTCCATTTGCTCAGCGTTAGAATGTAATAAGACAACCATTTGAATTGTATCTTGAGCTATAGATCTGAAGTCCCTCTATCTAAATCAAAGGTCAAAATCAAAATTTCTTCCAACTGGCAGGTCATTTTCATGGGTTCTTTTGCAGGTTTTTCGAATATGCTTAGTTTTAAAAGGATTTCGTCTTATACATTATGAGAAAAAAAGACGTCCCCCCTCCTCCTCTTTCGATTGGTGAAAACCGCAGCTCGGTAGCTCTTGCTGTTGTTGAGTTATTCAATTTACACCAACCCCTCTTTAATTCTGGCGCCGACATTAGTTTTACTTCAAGATGATTTTGCCATCTTTAAAGAACTTGATAAATGTAAATAAGTATAATATGATATATCTTCCTGAAGACTTCTCACAAATGGAATCTCAAAAGGACAATCAATACATAAACGATTTTTTCGACACTAGTTAAAAACTTATCGATCATTTACGACTCTATTTTTTGCTATGAAAAATTAAGTCTTGAGTCTAACTTTCATCCTAATTCCTCGTTTCGTTGTGATTTCTAGTTTATCTATTAATAAATAAATATCAGTAAGAATCATTAGTGTAATTGTCAATCTTTCATGTATATTATTAATTCAATAAGAATTATTACATTTCAATTCGTTTTTCTTAAAAAGAATATCGATAAAAAAAAGTTCTTAGCACAAACACTGTGAAATTAAAACATGAAATAAAACGAAACTGTGATATGGTATTAAAAAAAATAATCAGTATATGTTTCAATAGAAGTACAACAAGAAAATTCAAGTGTGTGGATATTGTTGGAATAAAATTTGAGTTAGGATCTGTTCGAGTCGAAGCCTGGAGCTGATAGAGTCCAGATTCAGTTTTTTGTTCTTCGGGTCCACGAAGATGTACACCTGCAACTCAATAACTCTAACAGTCCTTTTAGATCGTGTTTGACAAAATTTAAAAAAAACAGTTGTTTTATTATTCTTTTGAAAAAGCTTGTTAGCATAGTTCATTTAGTGTCGATATATGGAACTCATATATACGACATAAGATAGAATAGTTGCTAAGATCTACAATGGAAAGAGGAGTCGAAAACCTTCAATTTAAAATTTACACTCATTATATTCTTCGAAAATATATAAAAGTTCTACAAAAAACACTTTTACATTAATTTCATAGAGTTGATTGCATAATATATTTTTCTATTTATCATGAGATAAAATCTTAATATCATTTTAATCATTAAATAGACAAATTAATTGTGTTATTTATTCAACATTTTTAATAGATTAACTTGGAAATATTTTTAATCAGTCAGATTTATCTTAAAAGAAGTTTCCATTAATCTTACAACCATTAATTTGTAATTCTTCGTCTCTTCTTTCTTGTATAACATATATTCATTTTGATGGAACAAATTCAAATTATTATAATGTTATTTATCAATTTCTTTTGTTTTTCAATCATAATTAACAAGTTCTTTGTTTTTCTAATCTTAAATTTTTGAAAAAATGTCGAAAATCAATTATGATTTGAAAGTAAATTTTATCTAATTCGAAAAATAGAATAAATCGATGAAATTTTAGAGTTTTTTATTTATAGAAACCTTCTTCAACAGGTGTTTAAATTACCTGTCGGACACAGACTTACCGGAACTGGAACTAATTTTTTTTGACCGTCTACCAGAATCAAGACTATGAATTAGAGCGAAATCTAGATTTAAATGAGATGTGGTGTTACTCTATGTGATTCTGAACAAATCTTTTTATGAAAACCTGAACGATATTATGGACATATGACATTTATCTAGTTCAGATGATAACAAGATAAGTTTTATCAATTGTTTCTTATTTATTGACGAGAAAAAAGTTGAAAAAATTGCGTTTGAATGCCTTCTTTTTCTAACCCCCATGTTTTTGCTAGAGTTTACGTGCATTTTGTAAAACGTGTTGGAACGTGAGTTTTTTGATCAAAAAAAACAAACAATCAGTTCGAGAATACTTTCTTCTTATAACTAAATTTCGACACCCATATGCTTATACTCGTGTCAGTATAGCTATACTATTAGACGTACAGTTCTCTAGATAAGGTTTATACAAAGTTGAGATCCGCGCATATAATTTTTTAATTGATCAGCATTAAAAAAAGTAAGACTTCTTTGAAAATTTTGTCCAATGGATATATATAATAAAACGACGTTGTCTAGTCTCGATTGATCTGCATTGTGGTATGACATTATTATTTCAGCACTTAGAGATCGAAAAAATAGATGAGGTTCAGTATCTCACACTTGTAGCAATAGTAAAATAAGTTTGTTTAGTTTGTTATATAAGTTTCATTCAATTTCTATAACTTTCATGGATTTGAATAGTATCAAATATTGTATCACTAGATCACGTAAATGTAATATAACAAAAAAAATCAAAATGTGCTTTGGAACGCTGTTTCGAACGAATTTCTTTTTTGCGGATATTTTCAACAATTTGTAAACGCTAACGAGAGAATCTTTTCAGATTCTTCATTCTAATTGCAATGATTGTTTTGCCTATAGATGTTACATATTGATTTAGTGATAAATCTCAACGTATCTGAATTTCTATTGAGA